GGAGGAGAGCCGCGCTATCTTGTTCCTTTAAAAAAAGAAAAAAAGGGCACAAAACCACCCAGCACCCAAACCCCTGCCCGCCCTTTGCTGGGGTGAAGCTGGGTGGGCATCCCGGCAGCTCCTGTCTCCCGTGGGGCTCAGCCTTCCAAACAAGTTGCAGTAGTTGATACGATAGTAACGTGGATAGGGCCATCCTGCTTCACATTTGCTTGTCTTTGTAGTATTTGTTTTTGAATTGATGGTCATATATACACATTTTTAGCTCTAATATTCGTTGGTTATTAGTGATGTTTTAATAAAAAGCTTGCATACTTAAAAATCTCACTAAATTGGTAAAACTGTGTAAGCTTTGTGGTAATGAAATTGAGCTTCCGTTTCTTTCATTAGCTCTACATAAAAGATGTAATCGAACGACTTGAAAGGCCTTTCCTTCAGGATGTTCCCTTTCCTCTTTCTGGCTATTGATTTCGTTGATGTTTAAAGGGACAGTGTCAGTACTTAAATGGAAATTGCATGTAATATTAACATTTGAATTCAAAGTTGCTGAATGCAGTATATCAACCCTCAGGGTTTACTACCAGTCTTCCTGAGTTAAAATAAATGCGTTTAAGAATATCCTCATCTCTGATTTCTCTCTGGAGGATCATCTGTGTCAATGACAGGGTAAATTTGTTCAGATATGTGTGAAGTTGGTTTGGTTTGGTTTTCTGTAAGCAAATGTTCTTTAAAATTTTGCTTTACGTGCAACTGGGGCTAGTGACCAATAAAGGGATTTTAGGAATTGGAGAAAACTTGTAATGAGCATGGTCAGTTGTAGATTAGCGTCCATTCTGTAGATTTTTTTGTGCCCAATTTTATTGTTGCTTATACTAAATAATTCCAGTGACTTCAGTTGAGTTAAACCAGTCTAATGCACAAATAGCATCTTCTAATATTCTAAAAATATTCTAAGTGTTTCCTTTTTTAAGAAAAACATCCTTGCTTTTCAGTCATTATTATATACGAGAGTGGACAGGAGCTTACCAGTCCACCAAAGTCCCTATGAGTGTTACAGGCATGGTGGGTATATGGCAGCAGTTTTGTTAGAGCTAACACTCTGCCTTATTCCAGGAAGCCTTTTAAAGGAAGATTGAGCAGCCTGCACTGTTACCCACAAAAAATCCAGTCTGCAAAACATACCTTTTCAATGGATAAGGACTGAATTGTAAACCTTGGGCAGCTGTGCAGTATTCTGCCTGCCTCTGGCAGGGCAGCATCAGGGAACTTGCCCGTGCTGCCTGCCCGTGTGCTGGGCATGCGCCCGGGGGACCGAGCGTGGAGACAGGGCTGGGGAGAACAGGGAGCAGGCTAGGGAAAACTCTCATTTCAGCTGATACAGCTCTTCTGCTCAACAAAGCACAACTGCCAGCCTGAGGTTGATTCGATGAGAGAAGTATTTCCATTTGCGGTGACGTTGTACATCAGACCTGTTTTGCTTGAGTTCAGAAGCTGTGATGCCAGATATTAGTTTTATGTGCTCAAACACTTCTATCAGAGGGTCCATATACCTTTTAGAGGTGTAAATGCTAGCTTGACTGCTTAAGCCCAAGAATGCAAAAGCTTCTGTATAGGTGATCAGTGGAAGAGACAATGCATTCCCTTAGGCAAAAACATCAGTTTCTTAACACCCCTCCCCAAACCAAAGCAGAAATAGAGTAGTGCTATAAAGCCTACTACTAGAGCCTAGACTATCACTGCAAAGTGGCTTTTCAGAGTAAGCATCTGCCGTTATTTTATGCCCACACTGAAATAGGACTGCAGTAAGAGCCTGAGCCAGTGCTTATTAGTGGAAAGATTCCCACTGAATTCAGCGGGCTTAGGCACAAACCTTATGTGACTGTTTTGAAATAAAGCATAACATGGGCAAGAAACCAGTTTTGATTGCAAGCCTGTAAAATAAAACTGCAAATAAGTTTACGTTAAAATTTCATGTTGTAAAGAACAGATGAAAAACCACCAATCCATTGTATGTTAAAGCATTTCATTCTAAGCATTTCAGTGCTTTACGTTAATTATATTTTGTCCATAGGGGCCAGGAGAGTGCTGGAATTGTGACAAGTGATGGAGAGTCATCTCAAGCATTCAAAGTGCACAAGGTAAAACGTAAATGAATGTTTTATAGATGCCTAACTGAGATGCATGAAAGTTTGCTTCAGCTAGGAAACGGAATAATTAGAGGGAGAGTAACATGTTTTGATGGACTGTTTTGGTTTTGTCAGTGATAGTATCTAATTCTGTTATTTGTGCAATTTCCATCTTAAGTGCATGTTTAAAACAAATATGCCAACGTTATCCTGCTGGGTGTATCCATGCACACAGTGGCAGACACACAGAAATATCCAGATCAGGCTACTGATGTCACAAAAACTACTTACCAAAGTCTCCCCGCACCTAAGGTGTTAACTCTGGAGCACTGATGCAACTTGAGATCAAGAGAGAAGACAGACAGTTACAGCCTATGCACAAGCCAATGGATGACTAATGCTGTTAGTAAGACTCAAGGAAGTGGCAACTACTTTACCCATAGGTAAAAATAAACAGAATAAAAGATTGAATGGAGGCCTGAGAAGGTCACACAGTCTTTCTCGAGCTGAGAGAATCCCAGGGGATGTTAAAAGACATAAAATGGCCATAGCCTCGAAAGTCTTATGCCAGGAGAATACCTCCATGCTCTGGGGATATTTCTGCTCATTCTTTATTGAATAGTGATCAGGAAAAAAATAATCACCAGCCTATTCCATCCTGGAAGAGCAGAGAAATAAAGAAGAGCAGGAAAGAAGGAAATAAGGAAGAACAGAAAATAAAACTACATCAGCAAAATAACCATGGGGCAATCTTGATGCGTGTTCTCTGACCGCAGTCAGAAAGCAGTTTGTCTTCATGTTCAGAGGTCTCTGAGGAAGATTAATTAAGCTGTTCAAATGAGTCCAAGAGTAAGAACTGCTTTGCTGCAGCAGCATGTATATCTATGCATGACTGCTCAATGCCTCACGCAAAATCTTGCCTCATCAAGCATCATGTTTGTCGCCTCTTCAGGCATTTCCCCCCTCCTATCTGTTACCTACAGCCCGATTCACACACACACATACACGCACTTTTAAATGCAGCTTTTTTCAACTTCAGCACCGTGTTATCTGTTCTTCATTCCTGCTCCTGCTTGGGTTTCAGCTTTCCTTAAGGTGTACAGGAATTCCAGCTTCCTTTAAAGTGGGCTGCTGTATATATCCCGTAGTAAAAAGAGCTTCTCAGAATAAACTTCCAGCATATCATAATTTGTAGTGTTTCCATGTTACTGAGCTGCAATACTTAGCTGTCGTGCTAAGAATTTAATTGACTATCTCATCATATCAGCTTTCATATTTTAAGACTTGCAGAGGACGTGATGGTTTCTTTTATCCTTGAAAAATGTTTCTCAGCTACAGCACTTTTTAAATCTGTAATAACCACAGTGTAATAAAGAGCCTGTGGAGTACAATTTGTATGGCTTGTTTAATCCTAGAAGTGGTGCTAATGTAACAAACATTTGGGTCTGTTACACTGGTGAAAATATATTTAGGACTCTGACTTGTAAACTAGTCCATAAAAATGTCAGCAGCTAAGATGCTACTGTATCCATTTGTCCTCCAAACTCCGGTTGACTCTTCTTCATAGCAGAGATGACAGGATGGAAAAGGTGCCTGCTTCTCACTGCATTGATTCACTACCCAATGCTTCCGTGCAAACTCACCTTTGTCAACAGTTTAAGGCAATACACATACTAGCGTAGGAACTGGAACACCTAAGGCATGGGTATGTGTTCCCTTCTGATTGTTACCAGCCTTTGACCACGGATTAATAGCCCTTGACAAAGGCTATTAATCCTTTTTTTTTTTTAAACTCTTCCAGAAAGACTCGTCCAGATTTGACTGTCAGAGCCTTTCAGCTGGATTTGTATAACAAAACATTACTGTCGTAGCTCTAGTAGCTCAGGACGTGGAAAAACTTAAATCTTTTATACAGACATAGCGATGCCAGTAGGAGGAAGGCTTTGTCTGATTGTTTCACACTTGGATTCTGGATTGCAGAAAAATACATTAAAGTAGCTATTCATCAGACCATTATCATGTTCTGGCATGTACCAGGTCTTGTATAATACAGACATAAGATTGTCTTCATTGGGAACTTTTTATACTGGTGTAATTCACATTCGCCATCCCACACCAGCACAATCTAAATCAGAGAAATATTTCAAACTGCAATTAAAAGATTATGTACTTGTGTAACCAAATCTGGTTTAAAACAACATTGTTTGTTTAAGCTATTGCAATGCTTAACGCGGCCGCATCCATTAATACTGGACCTGTGAACTGCCAGATCGCCTGTTGGGATAAAGTTGGCCTAAGTAAAATAAGAGTGCATGGTTGCCTTTCTGTACGTACATGAGCACATAGACTCTAGACCACCGTTATGTCATCTGTGAGACAACGGATGATAATTGATCTGGCATAAAGTTTGCTGAACGATTAACGCTAACTTATACTGGTTTGACAGTGTGAGGCAGTAACTTTTTAACGTGATAGTAAGTATCCTAAAACCACATGTGCAACCGCAGCCTCTTGGTATTCTGACTCTATAACAGTCACAGCAGAAAATACCCTAAAGCTGAGCTTTCTTTAAGCTCTTTTGGTTGAGCTCTGAAAACAGTTCAACCAATTTCTGTCCTTCCTGTCCCATCCCACTCTCTTGTACCTACAGCACAGGTCATGAACCATTCACAGCTTCAGACCTCTCCCGTGTATCTTTGAAGATCCTAGAGGAGTATTATCATGTGTGCTATCATGTATATCACAATTACCACGCATGATAGGGAAACCGAGCATAGAAAGATGTAAATATTTTCCACAGGTGGCGGCAGAAGCAGGACTTTGTAGGAGGGCCTGGAATCCGGTCTTAATTTCTACTCTCTGTGCAGTTTTTTCAGACTATTCCTGCTGCTAAATTGTCTCCACACAGTGCTTGTTGCCAAAAGAAGCTCCTGACGCCTGACTAATAAAGCTTTGATTCATTTCTGCTTTAGATAGAAGGCAACCTGGCTATATGAAAAGTTTGGTTTAAGTAAACAATAAAACCTCTTTAAAAAAGCTTTGCTTCTGACATTGGCTAGAATGACAGTGGAATCGAATAAACATTATCATGGACCCAGTATAAAAGTAAATCCAATATACTGCTAACTTGTAAAAGGTATTCTCTACACAGAATTTCCTTCTCACAACTTTTTTCTTCTTTGCCTGTCTTCTGGCAGTCTTTTTTCTGGTGTTTTTAAACAATACAACAGTTTGGTAGTGGTTTTCTGTTCCATGAAAACCCTCAGCACAAAAAAGTATATTGCTTTATTTAAAAACAGGAGTAATGGGATCTGATATATCACTGTGACACCTACTCAGCTTCTTTCTTTCCCATGTCTTTCAGGTTATTTGCCTTTCTCTTAAAGTTGCTTGCATTAATGCTGTACCAAAAACAAACAGAAGGAGAAATGAGGAAGTTGCCAGGAAAACAAAACCAAACAGAACTTTTTTTTCTTTTTCTTCCGAAGGGAATGGGTCTTATAAATCACGTCTTCAACGCAGACAGCCTGAAGAAGCTGTACGTTTCAAACCTCGGTATTGGGCACACGAGGTACTCCACCTCGGGAATTTCTGAGCTGCAGAACTGCCAGCCTTTTGTCGTGGAGACTCTTCATGGGAAGATTGCTGTGGCACACAACGGGGAGCTAACAAACGCTGTACGACTCAGGAGGAAGGTTAGTATCTCCTTTGGGAGGCTCTGGCATCGTTTCTTTCTGAGTATGAGGCAGCAATGAGCAATAAGTTTGCTATGACTTTTCCTTAATACCAGACTGCTTGGGGTAGTGAAAGAGCCCCATAATCAAAACAGATCATTTTGGGGGAAAAAAATCCTGGGGAGGGGAGGCATTTGTAACTGTCACAGGGGATAATTCACCAATCCTCTAGACTGATGGTCACGTTCCTATTGATCAAGTGAGAAAACTAACTCAACCATAACAAAAGGTAGCTTGGCTTGAAGCTCTGCTCCTTTGTGGTGGCTGATAGAAGGAGCAAATCTTATGCTTATGCATTGTAATACGAAATGTCTGGTTTGGAATATTGTCTTTATTTCTATTTCTGGCTTGCAAAATTAATCATGAGCACTGTCAGGACATAAACCAACAAATGCTACATTTTATAGTGTGTGGCTAGAAGGGTACGTGTTAAAGAACCAAATTAAAATTTAGGAGATGTTTCATTCTGAAATCTCTTCTATGATATGTCCCATCCAAAAGTGAGAGGACATACTCTTGCGTTGAAGCGAGGCAAATGTATGGCATGCCCAAAGGAACCTAGTCCGTCTTTAATCAGAGCCACAAGTGTATGAATGGATGGGAGAAAAAAACAGTGGTGAGGAAATGTAGATGGAGAGTGGAGAATCTCTTGATTCTCATGAGTCACATGAGATGTAAAATGATTTCTAAAGATAAAAAGTAGGAACTGTAATGCATACAACATTGAATGGGTTGTAATAGTTGGCTAGATACACTGCAGATTCTCTTCTCCCTTAGAAGCATAAATACGCCAAGACAGAACAATTTGACTGACCATGTCTAGCAAACTTTAAGTTGTGGGATTTCAGTTTTTGAATCCCACTCTGCTTCCTTTCACACCTCTTTTTTTTTTGTTGTTGCTTTGTGCCTAAACCACCATTCTGCCTTGATATCTCTTTCTGTATCTGCTATAGGTAATTTCATATTTTCCCTTGTATATTTTACCTCTCTTCCCAGAGCAAGCAGAAGCAGAAAGCTGATTAAATGGCTCAAACGTGAATTTATGCCCTGAATATTGGTGGTATTAATTTTGGTTGCATGTGGAGCAAAGGAATGAGATGCAAAGGGAGAAATGTAGTGCCAGGCATAGATGGTTGTACCAGCTCTTTTTACATATTTGGTTTGTTGGAAGAAATTTGACGTTATTATGATCTGATCACCTGAAGCACTGATATGTTTTAAAACATTTGTTCATTGGACAAAGGTGGTGTTAGATTAACATCTGAGTAGTGTTAATGTGGGATTTTTTTTTAATGTTGGTAACTTTTGTTTTGTGTCTCAAAAGCTTATGCGGCATGGTGTAGGACTGTCGACCAGTTCTGACAGTGAACTGATCACGCAGCTGCTGGCTTTCACACCTCCTCTAGAAAATGACGATACAGCCGACTGGGTAGCAAGGTGAGGAGGATGGGTTTCAGAATCAAGAACAGCAATCTAATCTTGGCATGATATGCAGCTGTAAATGCACACAGCCGTTTGTGTGACACACGATTATGTTCATCTATGTCTCATTTCAGAATAAAAAATTTAATGAATGAAACTCCAACTTCATATTCATTGCTAATTATGCATAAAGACATAATCTATGCAGTACGTGATCCGTATGGGAATCGCCCACTCTGCATTGGTCGCCTTATTCCAGTAGGGGACATGAATGGAAAAGGTAAACCATACATATATATTCATATACATATACACATATATATATGTATATATATAGTTTGTGCCTGAAATCACTGATACAAATAATTAAAGCTACACTCACTGAGGTGCAAGTAGGAATGTGTGATGCAAAAGTCAGTTTTGAAAATTCAAAACGAAAAAAATGTTGGTAAGGAAAAAATAATTTGTAGGAAGTCTACAAACATCTTTTCTGTTCCCAGGAAAAGGGAATTCTAGTTGCCTGATGGCAGTGTCAGAATTAGGCACCCCAACTGTAATAGAATATTTGTCAAAATTTAATTAACATCACCTAAACAAAAAGCAGGGATGAACGGAATCACAGAAGGGTTGAGGTTGGAAGGGACCTCTGGAGGTCATCTGGCCCAAATCCCCTGCTCAAGCAGGGCCACCTAGAGCCAGTTGCTCAGGACTGTGTCCAGTCCAGAAACAAGTCTGGTTTCTTCCTTTCTCCTCTAGTAAGGTGGTCGAAAAGTGCTGGATTACTGGCAATGTATTGCTAAATTCCAAGCACTCCCAGTCACACGTAGTATAGTAATGGAACACTATACATCAACTTACAGGAAAAATTCTTTGTGTTCCTGTTTAGCCTGCAAATCAACATTTTCCATGAAGTGAGATTAAAATCTGTTCATTTGTATAAAAAATAAAATAATTCAAAGGCAAAGTAGTAAATGCTTCCATATCTTCACAAAACTTGGTAATTTTAACCACAAGAAAAACTACCAAGATTTTTTTAAAGCATATAAACATTCCTACCCGATGTTACACAATTCGATCTTTCCTGTACCTGTCTCTGAAAACTCTCCTTATTGGAGTTAATCCAGCATCCGTTGTAATCAAAAGGATCTATCTATCAACGCATTTAGCATAGGAAAAATAAGGAGTTTCTTGTGTGAACAAAAGTAATTATGTACATCTGAAGTCACTGAACTAGAATTGGGAAAGTTTGAAATAGTGCAGAGATAACAAAGGTAGTTATCTGAATTGTCTCTCTTCATGAATTGTGAATATCATGCTCTTACTTCCACTTCTGCCTAGAACAGGTTTATGATGTTTTACGTTTTTGGGTTTTTTAAATAATATTGCAGCACCTTTGGAATGCTATACCTTTTAGTTAGAAATTACAACCGTCTTTAATTGTGCACTTGGCAACCCAAACCATAGCAAGCCAGATACTGCAGTAGAAATGCATTTGGGGGGGGTAATGCTAACAGGAATTGTGGATTCTAACTGAAATCTTTCATTTCAGGAAAAGATAACAGTGAAACAGAAGGATGGGTAGTCTCTTCTGAATCCTGTAGCTTTTTGTCTATCGGTGCAGAGTAAGTGCCCTGATTCTCACTTTATCTGAAAGCTCTCCTCAGGCAGCGATTAAACATTAAACCTCAAATTGTCAAATGTCATAACCTATAACAACATGAAAGACATCAAAGATTAGTTTGTTGGGCTGTTTGGAGGGGGTTTTTTTGCCAGTCCTGTTTTTTGCCAGTTTATTTTCTTGAACAGATTAATGTAAAAGAAGAATTACGTGTTCAGAAAGTAACAGAAAAGACGACTTTACTGTTGTAAAGTAAATGCCTCTTACTTGTTGCATTAAACCTGGTTATCCATATAACTTCTTAATTTTAGCCTCGTTTGCAGCAGAATCATTGTATTACAAAATAATTCCTCAGCTACAGAAAGGTTACATTGGTAGCTCACAGGCTGGACTAACCTGAGCTGTAGCATATGCTGTCTGACGAGCCAGTCTCATTTGAAAAAAATGATGGGCACCTGAAACTGTTTCCATCCGTGCAAACACCCATCAGAGCCAAAACATGAGATGACATTCACGTTACCTCTCTAGCTAAGATACTCTGAAAAGGAAGGTGTGATACTTTCTCTGGACAAAAAGAGAAGGGTAAGAGGCTCTTTGGGAGACTGCGAATTGACCTTTAGAAATTTGGAGTGGAAGGCAATTGTGAACTAGAACATAATTAAAGTAAGAAAGATTATGAGGAAGCATATTTAATTTCCTAATCAGACACTAAAAATGTGCGTTTGGGGACTAGACTAATAAAGTTGGGTCCTCTTCAAATAAAAAACTGTGAAAAATTGCATTAAGAACACAACTACTGAATAAAAAGAAATGTAAAGCAAAATCAGGAAGCAACGTGACTGCACTTTAGAGGTCTTTTATTCCATTCTGCAGTGTTTTATTGTAGGTGTGGTGTTCTGGGTTCTTCTGATGTAACTTCTACCCTGTCTCTGTAGGTAATCTCAATTAAGCCTGTACTAGACTGACTATGGTATGTCTCATAGATAGGAAGAATACCATAATTCTCTGGTACTAAGTATTAATTTACTGCTTTGGGGTATTAATTCAGACTGTTTTAGTAAGGGTCAGTTGTCCTAGCATGTTGGTCCTAAAACACTCCAGGTCAAATCCTAAGATAGAAGCAAATTGTCATGTCAGGATGTTCAAAAGCATTTTTTCCTGTCAGTTGAATCTTGTTTATATTTCAAAACTATCATCCAGGTTCAGGACATTTCTAAATGCTATGTATTTCTCTTTCAAGGTACTATCGTGAGGTCCTTCCTGGAGAGATTGTGAAAATATCCAGATATGATGTCCAGACACTGGATGTTGTACCAAGACCTGAAGGAGATCCGTCAGCATTCTGCATCTTTGAATATGTTTATTTTGCAAGACCAGACAGTATTTTTGAAGGTAAGAAGATGTAATGTACAAAGCTCCTCCCTAAACAGTGGGAGATGTTATCCTGGAGAACGACGACTCTGGAAAGGATCTGGGATCATGGTAGGGTACCACTGAATGTGAGCTTGCAGAGCAGGGCTGGGACAGAATGGGTTGGCACAGTTCTTGAGGACATGAAACTCATCAGGAGGAGCATGTAACATCACCTTCCCGTTCCTGGCTGTGCATATGGCCTCCATCAGGCTGCCTGTGTAGTCCTATGGAAGGGATGAAAAGAGCCACAAACGTGATTAAGGTAGAGGAAATAACCCTTAAAAGTGAGAGACTTAAGAAAGGAACTTTACTGGTTCTTGGAAAACTTTTTAAAAATTAGACTTATGAACTAGGATCTGCAAAACAACTTTATCTTGGTGTTTTCTTTGCAAGAAAGGGTTATTTCAGGAAGATGCTTTTAATACAACTTGTAAATCTATGCATTATCTAAGTACTTGGGGTTCTCAGTCTAATGCTTTTATTATTTCAGTAGAAGCCCTCAAAAATTGTCTCGGTGACAAGACATTAGCCAGGACTCTCATACCTAACAAACAAGCTCTTCTTTGCTTTCTACGGCCATGCCATCTGTTGATCCTATACAGTTCCCCACCTTCACAAAGCCAGTTTCACCCCACATCCCTTTTTTTCATGATCCTCTTACCCTTCAGTATCCTCACTTCTTACATTCTTTAGTACTGCTGCTGTACCCTTTGCTGTGCCTCATCTCACCACAATGCCTCCAGTTCCCTCCCATGTTGCAAATTTTTAGGACCTTAGAAGCTTCTGAGGCCTCTTATCCCCTTACTAAATTTGGGATGAATTTTGCCAACTGATTCAAAGTTAATAAGCGGGCAGAGGCAGACAGCAGGATTGCACAAACTTCGTCTGCTGGAGAAACCAGCCTAAAAATAGAATATGCAGGTTATGAACAGGCAGGCATAATTTCTGCTTCTTTCCTCCTCTAAATAGATTTTGTAACATCCACAGGACCTTCAGTTACCCGATTAGGGCAAACTGGATTTTAATTCTCTGTGTAGCAATAGGGATGTGAATGTAAGAATATGACATTATGGAAGGAAATAAAAAATGACATATGTGAGTGACTGCTTACTAGTTCTGGCGTTTTTCTCACTGACTTCTATGCCTGCAACTTGCCACAGAAATTTGTACAGCAAACTGAGAGGAAATCTGAATTATGCATACCAGGAAAAACACCTCTTGCTGTTCTTAGGTCAGATGGTGTATTCAGTCAGGAGAAGGTGCGGGCAGCAGCTTGCAATTGAAGCACCCGTGGAAGCAGACCTGGTCAGCACTGTTCCAGAGTCTGCAACCCCAGCAGCTCTTGGTTATGCTCAAAAGGTATATGTTAACTTGCCTTTCTTCTCCCACGCATATTTACTCTTTTTGTAATGGGGTATTATGGTCCGGGCCATTAGAGTTTTGTATTGATAATGCTTTGTATCTTGAGTACGCTGGGTACTCCTATTGAGTCATCCGCACTTTTTTTTTTCTGTCATTATTCCACTATATTAAGGTATTTCAAAGTTCTTTCGTTACTGTGAAGTCATACTAAGTCCTAAGATTGCTTTAAAAAACAGTAAGTGAGAATAACCAGTTAATAGATATTAATTCTGTTTAATTGTCTCCTGTTTACAGTGCGGGCTCCCATATGTTGAAGTACTCTGTAAAAACCGATATGTAGGAAGAACGTTTATCCAGCCAAATATGAGGTTACGGCAACTTGGTGTTGCAAAGAAGTTTGGCGTTCTGTCTGATAATTTTAAAGGCAAGCGAGTTGTTATCATTGATGATTCAATTGTGAGGGGCAATACCATTTCACCCATAATAAAACTACTGAGAGAATCAGGAGCCAAGGAGGTAAGTTAATTTTCAGTCAGTACAACACAGATGTGAACAGAAGATTGATGGGAGGGTAAAGCACAGGGGCTTGTTCTTCATTTGCATTGTACGTTGTTTCCTTATTTAAAAGAGCAAATGTGCAAAAAAACAATGGCTAGTGCATATTTATTGTGCAGATAGGTTGAGAACTTTCTTTTGTGTGACTGATTTTTGGGACATCAAAGGGGGAGGAACAGGTCTCCATTTATAAAGCACTATCTGGCAAATAAAGAGAGAATGGAAAACAGATTAGGTAAAATCAGGAAATCAAGTATCGGTGTGGTATTCCTGACATATGTGCGACTTGTGGTACTGCATTAAGTACAACCACATACTGCAGTAACGAGGCACGTGCCTTAAGTCACCAGAGCACAAATTTTTTAATTGATTAATATTTTTTAATTGAAACAGAATGTGCAAGTCTGTCACTGGAGAAAACATGTTCTGTGTCATATTTGACTTTGTAAACTGAAATGTGCATCAAGGATTGAACGCCATAAAAGAAAAGCAAAATCGGGATGGAACCTTTTAATAACATTAGGAAATATTGTAAAAATAAATTCTAAAACTGTCTTTCTCTCTCCTGCTGTGTTGGCACCTAAAAACCCCTTTATCTTACTTTTAACCCTCCATGACTTCTGAGTAGTGCTGTGTTCTGTTCTTCATGATTATTTTGCAGAACTAGGACTTTGCTGTTATGATCTGCTGACCTTTACCTCATAGCGCTCTGTTTTGAAACTGTTTTTATTCAGGTGCACATCCGTGTGGCTTCACCTCCCATAAGATTTCCTTGTTACATGGGAATAAACATTCCAACTAAAGAAGAACTCATTGCCAACAGACCTGAATTTCATGATCTTGCAAACTATATAGGTAAATGCTACTTTTCTTTTTCTTTCTCTTTTTTTTTTTCTTTTTCTTTTTTTTGAGAGAGAGATTTTACCTGTAGGTGTTTTATTGTCTACATCAAAATAAAGGACAACACATCAAGGCAACAGTGGCAAAACTGACTAAAAAATCATAAGGTTGATACACTAAATTTCTGCATTGTGAGTACCCTACAGATCAAACCAATTTAGTTACACACTTTTTTTTAGCACAGTTAGTGAATTATGTTTCTCCGAACAATAGAAGGCATTAGAATAATTGCATAATGGTAAGTTACAACACAGCTTTCCAATACTTAGAGCTCCTTCTGGGAAAGTCTTTACAACAAGGAGCTACTGTAGGCAAAATACCAGGAAGAAAATATGTGGTGAAAATCTGTCCTGTAATGAAAAGCTAATGTAGTTTCACTTTCATGAGATATTAATAAAAATATGTTGGGAATTTGTAAACACCCACTGATTTTTCTACAAATTTAAATTTATGTAAATAATTTTAACTGCATTTTATATTTCACTTTGAAAGAAATTACATTTGCAACTAATCAAAGAACGTTAAATACATTCTCAAATCTCTAGAATGAGTCATGTTTGCAGCAGAACAAAAGAAGAACCAACAGCTTATGTTGCTTGTGATGTGGTAAATAACGTGCTCTTCATCAGGATATCAGCAACAGAAGTCATGTGAAGGCTTGTGAGTGAGATCTACTATATATGGCCTATTGTGCTGCAAAATATTTTTAAAAATGGTTTAAGAACATAGCTGTGGTTACAGTTAGGAAACTGTAAACTCGGATTTCCTGTGTTAAATACTTACTCTCACTGTCTAATATTGCAATGAATTCTTTTCCCCAAAATTATTGTGAAGGCATGTTGAAATATTTCAGGTTTGTAGGATCTCATTTTTAAGTATTATTCACAAAATAATGAGTGCAAACGATAGAAGACTAATGATGTGAAAAGGCTATCAAGCTTTCCTACTGCTAGAACATTTGCATGAACTGCATACTGAATTTTTTTTTAACACGATGGTCTTCCCCTCCTCTAAGTGCCAGTAAGGGTTTGTAGTCCTAGGTGCGCAGTTTGGGAAGCACCAGCCACGCACCCATCTGCTTCCAGACCCGAACTACAGGGTAACTCTGGGAAACTATAGGGAGTTTAGGGAGTCTTAATACACACTCTGGATTTTGTTTCTATTTTTGCAGTGTGTGTGACATATTTGTTCCCAACTCAGAACCTTCTTTCTAGATTTCGGTGAGTCTGCTCCCCGCACAAAGAATTTGAAAAGGGTAAGGCTTATTATGGTCTGATAATTTTTCATATCCATTCTCTTTAGGTAAGGCGATCCACCTCCATACAATAATGCGACTGCATTTCCGGAGAGCATTGCATTTCGTACAACATTGCAGCTTTAACTGATGAATTCTTCATTTCCCCTAGGAGCAGACAGCGTTGTCTATCTTTCTGTGGAAGGGCTGGTATCGTCCGTGCAAGAAAGCATCAGAGCAAGACAAGAGAATGAGAACAGCCTTAAAACCCAGAAATCGCGTGTTGGAAAGATTGGTCATTGCACAGCGTGTCTCACCGGAGAGTATCCCGTAGAGCTGGAATGGTGAATTTTTAGTGGATGGACACCAGTCCATCTCTTGTCAAATGTACCTTTTTCAAAGATGCCTTCTTGCTAATCATCTTCTTATATTTAGGTAATACGGAAAGCTTATTACAATTACTGTTACTAAAATACATCTTTACAGTACAGACTTACAGAAAGTCCGACCTGCTGATGAAAACGATGTAAGCAGATTAAAATACAAAATCATATAGTTTTGATGCACAGTTGTGCCTTCTATTTTCTCACGAAATATTATAAAAACCAAAGTCTTTTTAATTATGTAGCGGTCCCAGAGTTTTTTGTTTTGGTCTTGCCCCGAAAGATATCCCTGTTAGACTTGTTCGCAAAGTACAGATCATGAATCGTGTGGTGTCATTTCAAATTATCAAAGTCCTAATGCAAAAAAGTACGTGAAGTTTGCTTTTCTCCTTAGGAAAAATACCAGATTCTGAAGAATCAAAGTGCTTCCTCGGCAGTTCTTGCTTAGGCTTTTTAAGAATAGAAGTACCTAACTTTTGCATATCTAGCTAAACAGCCTTTATTAATCAAGCCCTTTGTAACAGATTTTATGAACGTCATGTCTAACATATGATTTTAAAAAATGAAGACTCAGGGAAATGCTCAGCCAAAAGCCCTCTAGTTTTATAACTTTAAAATTCTTTTTTTGAAGTCCAGTGTAATTACATTATCTTTGTGTGCTTTTATCAGTTGCCAATAGGATGTGGAAGGAGAAAAAATACTTGGCACTGCCATTTTTTTTTCTGTTTTACATCTTGTTTTCTCCAGGATAAGTCCTGACAATTTCTGAAGTCTGAGCTAATGTTCCGTGTGCTTTTCATATGTCAACATCCAAAGTAAACTGAAAAATAAACTCACTTTTCATTCGCAACAGTAAATACAATGTATGAACTGAAAATTAGGAGTTGTTTTGGGTATAGTCTTATTTTGCCACATTGCTGCTGTTACAATAAATGTAATGTTTTTTTTTTTAAAAAAAGAGTTCTGAAGAACCACTAGCTATTGAATACATTGTATTTTTTAATTGGTCACAATTACAGTTGCTTGTATACATGAAGATCACTTGGACAATGAACCACTAGCTGAAAATGGAAAAGCACCTTTTGAAAACTATTGCAAATTTACGCACAATTGTAAAAATATTTTGTATACCTCAGGTTTTTTCACTGAATACCAGCAACTTAATTTTAATTTTCTATTTAATATTGTGTATTTTGGCCTTATAATTGTTTGTGACACTGTTAAATAAATAGAAAAGTTTAAGAGCTTCTTCCTTCCCCACATATATCCTCCACATAGTTGAGAATTACAGCACTGGTGATTAAATGCAAAAGGGAGCTTTCTTACATGGGATTTGTAGCAATTGTGCCGGATAGACAATCACAAAACAGAAGTCCCGATTCAAGAAAGCATGTAAATACATGTACTGAAGTCAAGACTGTGCATCGTGCAGTGGAATCGGAACCTGCTTGCAGTCCAGCCTATGGGAGAATCTAGATTCTCATGAGCATTGGGCTCTTACTGCGTGTTCTTCACCAAAGCCCAGATCTGCCTATTGGGGATGCATGTGGATCTCTTCTGTCTAATTAGCAAGTTTGGTTGGTTTTTTAACAGAACCGTAACAGTTCACCTGGACAGTAAACTGAGCAAAAACAGAACAGGGTGGAGTCACTCTGACCGCCCCCTCTTCCATATTAACCAGGGAGGAGTGTGAGAAAACAGAAAAACTGTCATTAACATTTTTTACCTTTCTTCTTTCCTGCCCTCAAAAAAAGCAATCATTTTTAAAAGAAGGGATAAGTCAAGCTCTTAGGTTATAGATACGTGTGAGGAGCCCTTTCTACTTGAGAGAAAAACTTAGGTGCACAGTGGTTGCAAGCAGAAGTCTATCGCTTTATCTGAAATTGTCTATAGAACGGACTGTAAATGAAGCTTGTGCAAATACTCTTTTAACCTGTTTTCAACAAAACTGGTATTTTTGAAGTCTGGTAATAATTGCTTAAATGTGATTTGAGCATTAGGTGGCATAGTTCTTGATTTCAGTAAAATGAGTCCTAATGCCTTTTTTCCCTCCGTGTTATGCATGTGGAATTACAGGGTCTGCTACTGTAAGCACTGTAGTTTTTAGACACGCTCCGTGCCTAACCTTTAGTACGTATTTTTCAAAACCTTAAGTTAAAGGGGAGATACTTTTCAAGTGTCATTTTATTCTCCGACAGCTGAATTTGTGCTTCAGGTTACCAGGCCTTTTTTTAATGACGTAACAGCGGACACACACATGCAGTGAGCATGCTGAGGGAGAAAACGCCTCTGGTTTTAGGTGTCGCTATTTGTATTATTTTAATGTCCTACTGTGAAACCGTTTCTGCTGTATTACCAATGCTCAACTGTGCCAAATTATCATTTACAAAATGTGACAGAACAGTAGAAAGCTAATGTCTAACTTCTCCCATGCGTAACATTAAAAAACGGTTATGCACTGGTCTTCTGTTCTCTCTCCCTTCACTGCACTCGCCGGCGCTACGCATCGACGGTTTCTTGAATACAGCCGCCTTGAAAGCGCCCTGGAAGCTGGAGCACGTCACTTCGTGTCTTGCATTACACCCTCCTCTCCCTCACGCAGCCCGTGCTGCGCTACCGGTGCCCCCTCCCACCGCCGGCTCCCCTGCCCGTCACCCTCGCTCCCCGCTGGCGCCC